GAAAGTGTGTTTATATAAAATGTTGATTGTAGCTTGATCAGGATTCATTGAGGTCAGTTTGATTTTATTTCGTCTGGATAAATAATTATAATCAAAGCTCACGAAATTTTTAAAGCAAAGGCTAGCAAACGAATCTGCGTGGACAGAAATTCGAATCTGCCGATAAACTCTCATATGCCTGGTCAATCAATATCGAGTGAACTAATAGAAAAAGACGAGTGGAAAGGTAAACCCGTACGGTTCCCGTCGAACGTCCACATTTTTACTACTGTCTCTCCTTGGATGTTATCTAAAAAAGTATAAGAGATGTAGAAAGCGTATAGCTAAAAGGTAGTGAAAGGGTCAGTGGAGGAGGTAGAAGAGGTAGGAGTGAGTAGGAAATGTAAAACCAAGCCCATTTCTGGGCCGAAGAGGTTGAAACAAAGAATTTATATACTATTGTCTCTGCTTTTACCGAAACTTAAACCCACTTCGCGTTACATGGTCACAGGCTAGGATTATTTAGGATCTAGCAAAGACAATCGGAATTTTATGTGACATTTTCATTTTTCAATTTTCAATTTCCACATAGGCCCAGGCACTCTCGTTTTATAATACCTAATACGTTTTATAGTATCATCACCAGACTTGGTGCATTTATAGAAATTCCGGAAGAATTTGTCTCTGAACATTTTCGATTTTATTTTATCTGAAATTATGCAATCTAGCTGCGGTGCAGATGTATGGGCGTGCCCGTTTCAAGGATCGAAAGAACAATTTCACTCGTAAAGTCGATACCAAGTCTCTTTTTGCACGGTAATCCGCGGTCCATCGTCGATGTGCAATCGACACTGTGCGTATCTGGATTCGACCTCGGCGTGAACGAGGCCTAAAGGGAAAAGGGCAAACAGAGAGGTTGTTTGCTCGCGGTTCGGCAACACTATACATACCCTGATCCGTGACGAGGATGGATCCTGCGTCGCGGCGCGCTTCGAAAACGCGCACTTGTGCCAGGCAGAAGCAAATAGACGAGAGACGAGGCTGCACACACGTGTACACGGTCGATACAGGTAGAGGGTGATGCTCCGCGTTCCCAGCCGGGGGAGGCACGAGCAAATATTGATGGAAGTCGAAAAAATTTTAAAAGCCATACCACCGGTTCGCTTTTCCGCGTCGAGCTTTTTTAAGTATTCGACAAATACGTACAGGTCACCGGGATTCACGATGCCATTGAACACGTTCAAAGTTTCAACGTTGAACGCGAGAAAACGTTTAGCGAGATCGTCTTTGACCTTTTTCTTCGCGCAACGTTCGCTGAAAGAAGAGACAGAGAGCAGAGGGGGTCGGTCGGTGGGGGACGGGCGACGGGGGGTTGTTGCAGGGAGTCGGTCTGGCGAGGGGAGCTATTATGCTCCATTATGAATGGTAACCAGTAGCCAAAGGAGGAAACTCCGCGGGGTGTCGATATATTGCCACCCCTCGCAGCCAGCCAGCCACCGCTAATAAATAATAAGCGGCATTATAATGCAACGGCGTGCACCGCGCCGGTACAAATTGCCGGCTATAGAGCGGTAGGCGCGTGTTCAGCCATCGACCTAACCGGATATATGCCTTGTAGAGGGCAATCGATTATCGGTATTTCATCGATACCCCCGTGTACCGGGGCTGCTGCACGCCCGCGAGTAATTATACCCGCGAGTTGCGCGATCAAAGTGATTTTATTTAACAAAAGTCGAGACCTGCCAGCGCGCCGTGCCACCGAGAATAATTTCAGATTTCGCTGATGGAAAAAGGGTCACTTCCTATGTTCACAAGTCAAATGTTTCGTAGGCGGTTCGTAAGATTAAAAAGAACAGGTCTTTCTAATAGTTAAATCAATTGGAAACGTGGACGAGGCTGTTGTAGCGAACGTAGACGATTGATCAGAGATTTGACGAAAGGATTTAGAGAAATCGTATTATACGTATGAAATGAATTGGAAATATGTACGAGCGCGCGTGGGTAGATGTAAGCGCGTGTAGTGAAACAGCGTTCCGCGTGAAGGGAGGAATTAGAAAAACGGAAAATCGTTGGAAAATATCGGGGCCCGGGGAAAGTGAATTCCTCGCGTTCTGCGATGTTCTCTATTTTCCGTTTCGCACCTGGGCCGAGGTAATGCCGCATTGCTCGTTGAGTTCATTTGTAAATTCTGTGAAAGAACGACGTAAACCAGAATTTACCAAACGGACCCCCACGATATTTTTTCCAGACATTTCCGTTTGTTATACGAACCTTTTATCAGCGTACGACGTCTCGAATGAAAATCGCGACGAGGGAAGCAAATCTGTTTTTACACGCTCTTTTCTCGGAATCCACGGTAAAGGAGTCTCTTACCTTAAATCTCGCCCTCTCGAGCCGCGATCGCAAATTGAGTGGTAAAAATCGATTACCCGCGTCGCCGGGAATCTATTCGCGGGAAATCGACTGCTCCGGCGCATTCATCGTGATCCTATTTCAAGGATTCCTTTCGTCCGGCGCCGTGCACCTGCCAACTGTAACCGACATCCGATACCTTCTCAAAGATCGTCGGGTAAAACGCTTGTCCCTAGACACCGTTCTCCTTCCTGGAATCTGGTCTCTCGTTTCGCCTGCCACCACGAATTACCTCTGACCTCGTCGAGTCTCTACCGGAACGTCTCTCGTGAAAAATACATTTTCCGTAGATGGAGAGAAAATGAAATCTGCTGCATGGAGTATCAATATCTTATTTATTATCTCATAATCCGTCTATACATTTGCTCGGATAACATATCATGGTAACTACAAAGAGCGACGGTTCCGGTCGCCGCCGGATCTAACATCTTCCTGGCCGTGATACTTACAGGCGAACACTTATGCATAATCGTGTTTCGTGTATTATATAATAATTAATAATGCGCCCTGTACCCAGAAACACTTGGACTCGTTCACCTGTTCAGGCGTATACTTTTTATAACGTAACGTCGTCGGCTAGAACGTAGAGTACTTGGTTGGGTTCCCGGGTTAACTGCGATTAGATTATTAGGCGAAGCGAGATTCACGCGTATTTACACGTCCCTTCAGGGTTTACCGATTTACGATTTGTTTGCTTTTATTACCTACACACACATACTTGAAATTTATCTACACATGTATAAAGATATCGTTGCAACAAGGTCCGTCAAACAGTTTCACTCTTTTCGTTCAACGGTAATCAGTTTCGTTGGTCGATACGGAAAGTCCCGTCCAACTACTGGCCACACTGTTTCTTTTACCGTTCACTACACTTGCAACAGATTCCCTAATGGTCTCCAAGTATCTAAGAACATCCCGTAGTTAATTTTCTTTGAAGAAACATCATCTCTCGAGCTACGTCTGCGGCTTCTCTCTTCGGAAGACGCGTATACAAAGGCTTTTAACTGGTAGATAAATAGGCAGAACGAGAACTCCTTATTCTTGTAATTTCGCTATCGGTACCACAGTTCTTCAACGATGCACCGTCGACCTCTCAAAATTGCTCCGTGCCACGACCTCGAATCGTATATGTGGAAGTTTGAAGATTCGAGGAAATCGTTCGTTTCAATCCGATGATCTTCAATTACATCTTTCGATCTGTCCCATGGCATAATGCGAAGGTTTTCTTTCTGCATTTCGCATTGCGTTTTGACGCTTGGCAATTTTTCTATCAGTCTTCAACAATGCACGTCGACTCGATGAAATTGCTTGGTACCATCGTTCCACCGCGACGACCTCGAATCATCTACATGTAGTATAGAAATTCCAAAACGTTGAATAGGATTTGTCTCATTCCCTTTGAGAAGATCGTTCCGACCCAACGACCTCGATCTTCGTGAAATTGGCTTCCGATTCGTCGCGCGGAGGTTCGCCATTTCCCAGCTATTGCAGGTAAGACCAGGTGGCCAGCTGGCCGTGGTCCGGTCACTCGGAGTAGCTGGTCTTGTCGCTGGCGTCGTCAGGGCTGGTTTCCCGATAGGCGTCTCCCGTCCCGTTCGCGTGCAGACTCTGATTGGGTGGCTTGATGACCGTGGGCAGGTAACCGGTACCAGCGTAAGGCGCAGCAAGGAACCTGTGTCGGGTCGAAGGTATCGGCGTGGTGCAGTAAGCGGCGCGGCTCGCGTACGCCGCCGAGACCGACGCCGAGGCCGCGGCCGCCGACGCCAACGCGCCTGCCAGGGGTGAGAACGCAGATTTCGGCTGCAAACTGTCCTCGCACACCAGCACCTCCATCGCGGAGACCACGTCGCCTAGGATAGGGACACACGCTATTTCTCTTTCTCAGGAAGCTCTCTTTCCTAGTTTCAACGATATAACTGACGACGCGTGGGAAGATTTGATCGACGATCAACATTACCAACCCCTTCGAGGTTCAGCAGGACCGATAGAAAAATTCTTCGAAAACGAGCATGAATTTTCCTTTATTATTTGAAATATAGAATTCGTACGATCGAGTATTCGTTTATTAGGTTCGTGGGTGCAAGACATACCTCCATTCAGGAAACGATTCTCCCATCGTAATAAATCATGACATTCGCGATTAATTCGTATCAGGAATACGAGAATATCACAATTAATGTGGTTCTGTTTATTCACGATAAAAAAAATATGACAATGAGACATAATACGATATACTGATTATTCTTATTTATTATGAAATAGAACAAACAGGATCGGATTACTATACACGCAATTATATCCGGCGGTCTATTATAAATTATTATATCCTCGAAAAATTCCCAAGCTCATGTGTCGAAATTCCACGAATCTATTAACAAATGGAACGAATCTCGAAGGGGTTGAGTCTCATTCCGTTAAATGGAAACTCGAAACCAATCGAATCGTCGTTGAACAACGGGCCAAGGCAACCAGAGTGAATATCAAGTTCTGGTTGCGAATAAAGCAACCACGACTTCTGTCTGAGGTATCGAGTTGCATCTTACCTTTGCACCGATGCAGCAAAGCTTCCACGTCGGCTCGACGTCTTCCTGGAAACACTCGCAACAGAACGTCCACCGGCGATCGTTGCTGTTGCTGCTGCTGTTGCTGTTGTTGTTGTTGTTGCTGCTGTTGCAATTGTTGGAGACCGCAGGTCTGTTGAATGTTCTGCATCTGCATCTGCATTTGGATCTCGCGTGGCTCTGGAATGTGGTGGTGATGCTGGTGCTGGTACAGTGCTGGGGAACAGTAGAGGGAACTTGCCGCGGGGCCGTACAGCGGTGCGTAGGGGGGAAAGTGAACCGTGGCCGCAGCCTGTAACAAAATTGATCCAAATTGGAAGAGATTCTTGAAAAATCCGTTTAATCCTTAGATGAATTATTGTATAAATTAATAAAATACTGCATTAATCAATGTATGAATGCATTTATGATCGGATGAAGAGAAAACCGAGTAAAACTAACCGCTAGGGAAGGTAGGGGAGGGCTGGGTCTGGGTTGCACCAGGTCGACCGGTTGCAGAGTCTGCTGCGTCTGTTGAGGACTTCCGGTCTTGCGGAGGCTGAGGTTCTCCGGCGCTGGCGTATCTTCCCTCTGGGGCGTCAGTGCCGGCGTCAGAGGCGGCGTATGCGTCGGACTCTGAGAACCCGGTTCTGGGCTTCCTTCCTCGGAATCGTTCAGACTGTTCGCTCGTTTTCGAGTCGTCTCGTTCTCCGTCACACCCACCGATGTTGGAACTGTGTCAAGCGATCGATTATCATTTCAAACAGTCATACAAATTTCTATTTAGATTTAATTTTCCAAATTCACATTAAAGCACAGCAATAAAATATGATAAAAAGTTTCACGGAACAAACAGGAAGATTTTTGATCTCACAATGTAATTGTCGCAGTTACGTTCGACGTCTTGTGTATTTTTACGTGTCGCATGCAGTGTTTCGTTTTGTGCGAATGCACAGAATTCCACAGTTGAATTTTATAATAATTTAAATGAATGTTGCGCGAGTTTCTCTCCGGGGGTAACGGGTGGGATTAGAGGAAAGCGAGAACGAGTAAGAGAGGCCGGATTACCCAACGGGCGGTCAGCAAGAAGTTCTCCACCGGAGTCGGAGTCACGGTCGTCTTCGTTACCGGTGTCGCTGGTGGAAAGCATTGTTCCCGTAGTGCTCTCAGAGATTCTCGACCTCTTTGTGCCTGGAACAAAAACAGGGCGTATCGTTCGCTTGCGGGACAGAGAGACGAAAATAAAAGAAAAACCGCGTATTAATACGCACAATACGCGGCTATGTATGAAATTCTCCAGCGAACAAACACTTTACATTGTTCTACGACGCACGCCGAATTGACTCTTACGGATCCTCGACACCCTTGAAAAAACGTTGTGCATCTTTTATTGTGATTTACCACCCGCTGGCCTCATCTCACATTTTTCATCGCCGAACCGTGTAACGATTCCCACTGAACTTTTTCGAAATCCTGATTTCTTTCACGACAACGATCAATTTCAAATAGCAGAGATACAGTTTAATGACTGATAGACGTGAAAGAGATTTCGTCAAGGTTTCGATACGTTTAATTAATATTAAAAGAAATGGCTTCTGTAAAATATATACAACGAACTAAGATATGATTCGTGAAATAAATTGAGATTGTTCACCCCCAGGAAAAGAGAGCAACGAGGAAAGTAACGGGTAGTAGCAATTAAGTTAAACAGCGGAACACACTAAGTTGTTTAGGGCGAGCAAACTGCGGGGGTTGGGAGAGCCACTCGAAGCAACCTTGTTATCGGAAGCTGCGCGTCAAGAATTAACCCGAGGAACAGCCGAAGGGAAGTTAAAGGGACCGTGTATATGTATTGTACATACAAACAGGATTACGGTCACTGCCCAAACGATGAAAAATATTTCGACGGTCGCCCCCTTCTCAGCCAAGTAAAACGTTCACAGCAAAACGTTTATACTGTCAATTAAAAAAGTGAAATTTAAATACAATACCATTTCTATTTCAACGTGATCTGATCAAATTACATTTTCTACGAACGTATCGAATCGGATAAGAGAAATCTCGATGAGCTTCGATAGAAATTCTCGTTTACGTTTGAGTGAATTCAAGATTCGATATAATTCCTTAGAAGTAGTTATTTATGAACGTTAGTGTACGTTTTCTGCTCGCCCTATATACATATATATATATATCACTCTTTCCCCGGGTTTCCGCTAATAAACGACCAGTTAAACTTTTTAACGAGCGGTCAGCCGCGGCAGACTTTCGTTGAACGGGCAACGCACCCCTTAACGTGGGATTCTTTCACGCATTGACGGGGACTCAATGGCCGTGCACGTGCATGCACGCCCCCGCGAACGGTATTATACATATACTTGCCGAGGGACGAGTGGAGAGCAACGTTATGGGGAGTCCCGTAATTATTTCCAACTCTTCTCTGCTCCACGATATTCAATTCGACATTGAAACGGAGATTAACAATAATGCATGAAAATATCGAAAACCCTCGATACGACTCTTACGTCGATGTCGTGAATGTTCGACTGGTTACAAAAAACGAAGATGAGATTTCGTTACAGTCTGATGAACGGCGAATTATCGTTGGTAACAGAACGGTGAGCTTTCTCTGTGAGTAAAAAAAGAACGAGAGAAAGTAGAAGGGATCTCGATGGAAGTTACTGTGGAATCCGGCGATGGTAATTCGAGGTGAACGGAACAGAAGTGGGCTCGAATTACCGTGGAACTATTAATGAAACAGGGATTAAAAGAAAGGAGCTGGCCAGCGGGGGAACAGATGGGTTCGCCGCGGCGCGCCGCGTCGGGTCAATGGAAAGGATCGCTGCTTTCTCGCTATTCACGCGGGGCTGGTTGTCTGTGACGATGCTTTTAAAGGTTCACCATCGGTAGATCTGTGAGAATCGTGCTCCAAACGAATTCCTTTGATTCGATTGATCTAACAAGTAACGACTGCTGGTTTGATTTAACAGCGGCGGATTATCGTGCTAAATAAATCTTGTAGAAAATCTGGTTAAAGAAAAACTTCGCCTAATCCTTGGAACGTTTATTAAAATTTTCGACGAAATCGATTAATAAGGAAATTGAATATAATTGAATCTGTTAAGAATAAAATATTTATACAGAATATAAAACGTGGAATCGCAGTGATTAATGATAAAAAGAATTTCAGTGTTTTTTAATCTGCATAAAAGTCCGCAGTCCAAATTGCGACGAGTTTTCGAAGAAATCTGATTGAAAACGAAAGAAAACCGATAATAGTTTCGAATACTTTTGCGAACGGTAACGAGGCTCGTAACGACCTCGCTAGAAATAAACGACTCGGTTTTCCGTTTCGCTTGAATCGAATCGTCCCCGTGGAAACACAAGTTTCGAGCAGCCTGGTAACGACGACGGCTCCAAGAAATATTCAAGGACCGCAACTGACCCTTCGATACCCTTTTACAAACGGGAACGCGATAAGGGATTTAACGTTTAACTTCTGAACGAGGTGTACGAATTAAAAAGTTCAAGTAATGTTTCACGATATAGATTGTACAGAAAAATTCATCGTACATTGCAAACACCGAAGGATACCGTGTACAAACTTTTTCATCTTTCTGATTGTAATTCCTTCTAAAAGAGAGACTGTTAACAGCTACGTCGATGGTTGGCTCGCGAACGGAGCGGATGATCCTCGCACCTATTGTGCCGCGTGATTCTAATCGGTGAACCAAAAGGGAAGTGTGAAAACGGAGACTATTGCGCTAGGTCACGCCCAGGAACGCGGCCCCGGTAAAGGGAACACAGTATCGCGAACTGGAATCTCGTCGAATTTCGTATCAATGCTCCGTCGTGTCGTATTTCGAGAAGGGTGCTGCCAATTTATTGTAATCTTTCTCCTGCTTCGGGCACAAACGAAAATATCTAACTTCTCCGAGGTGTAACGTATCCACGCGTTCACAAAGCAAGTTAATAAAACTCTTGGAAAAAAACTTGCCCCGTGTAACGTTAGAGGATTTATTACCGGTTCTCTCTCCCTCGGTACAAATGTAAAATGTACACTGCACCAGTGGCAGTCTGTTTCTAATACAAAACGATCAGATTTATCAAATATGATATTTGAGATAGTAAACTGTTTTCAATTTTTCAACATTACTATGCTACCATTTTTTGCTACCAAGACATCGTTTAAGCACTGCTACTTGCATTCAGTTTTTAATATTTTATCTACAGAATGAATCGATAAAAAATTCAATATTTGTGGGGGTGCAGAATGTTCTAGCGAGCCAGGTAGTTGGCCGGGGAAATGTTTTACGACAGGGTCAATGGTCAACATCTGGCTTGCAGACATTTTGGCGACGTTATCCCAACCGTGGATACTTTTTAGAAAGTAATATGAATCAATTTCTTTTAATGATAAAACTGTAGATTTTTATATAAAACGAAACCTGGCATTTAAAAGTACAGTTTTAATGTTTTATAATAGATTTGCATGGGTTTCGGGGATGAAGCGGTTGTATCTTTGGAAGGCATATTCGTCGGGCCTAAGTCTAATTTATAGGGATGTTTCGTGTCCTCCACAGTTGCCCTGCAGCCTGTGTCCTATTACTCCTATTCTCTATTATGCAGCGCCGGCGTAGGCCGGAAGCTCCCGATATCTATATGCCATTCTAAATTATTCGGCATTGTCCCCGGTTGATTCCATTGTCCGCGTCTGTCTCCACCGTGCGGTGATACGCCGGGTTTAGGGCGTAGACCTACAACAACAAGCTCCGCATGCTCCGGTCCGTGTGTATCTGCTTCGAGAGACGCCCGATGCGTCTTGTAATCGGTCAAGAGTCCAGACACGCATCGTCGCCGGCTTCTAATTCAACCCCTTCTATCAACAATTTATTACGCGTTCCTACCCGTTGCCAAATTTATTAATCGAACGCAGCACATTTTTACGAGATTATTTTACACCTCGAATTTGAAAAAAAAAAAATAATGAGCTGTTCGGTGAAACGAATTGAAAATGAGTTTAATTCGCGTCTCAGTATTGATCGAGCTCGCGAATTCCAATGGTTCAAAATGATATTAATGACAATCAGTCGTCAGGGGAAAGGAATGCAATATCGCGTCGAGTATTAATGTAGCCGACCAATAGAAAATTCCTCGCGGAAGCCTTTTCTCTCCACGTACCGTGATGAACACAGTCCACAGGATTATGAGACAGTTATTAAAATATCATTCTCCGTCGGAACCCCTCGAGTCACCCTCTTCCTTTGAGGGTGACTGCGTCGGTTTAGAGTAGTTTATAAATCCTCGTGTGTGTTCACTGAATTGATAGTCGGGGGTTAAAGCAGTTTTGGAGGTGCGAGAAATTTATTTTTTACGATCAGGTCATTATGCGAGACGAAACATGAGTGTACTTCAATATTCGCAATATTAGATCAATTTTTATGATACGCAGGGTTCATATTGAATTTTCTAGACGCGGATGAAATCGTCGTTAATAAATTGATGGTCGGAGAGATGAAGTAGCTTCGGATACGGAGGTGTGATGAATTTCCAAGGTAGAATCCTTGTGATCTGTGCGCGCGGACAGAGAAAAGAGGGACCGGGCAGGAGTTTAGTTCAAACACACTTAGAAACGTGCTTCCACGGCGGCGTTGCACGTGTACGCGCATTCGTAGGGCCCCTATGCAAATAGGTAGAGGAATAGACGTCCGAGGAGCCCCGGGGCCTCTTCTGTTCCGCGAAGCCGTGCTGACTCTTTGCAAACAATGTTACCAGGCACGTCCGCTAACATAAGTAGCCGTACCCCGCGCGGATTTCAACTCCTTCGCGAATCAGCCTGTACATAGGTTCACGTATTGCGATTCCTCGAGGAGAGTTTGCCCTCTTCGCGTTGGATAACCGTACAGTAATGCAAATATCCCGTGGTACTCCTTATTGCTGACCATTCTTTCCTTCTCTCTCGTTTATCGATTTCTCGCAATTGGAATTGACATTGTATCGAAAGTTTAATGAATTTATCAAAAATTGATAAAAGAGGGTTTTTTAATTGATGTTAGATTCATTTTATATTTAAGGATGCATAGGCTATACACTTAAATAATGCTAGCATGTTGAATTTGTTATGATAGATTCCTATTACTATTAAAAAGCTAAAATTATAGTGATTTCAAATTTTTCATAGGTAATAGTATCAC